TCAAATTGTTATTGTTCAATCTCTTCAAGCTTCTGTTTATGAATTTAAACAGAAGCTAATCTTTTCTCTGTTTCACTGAGACATTCTGATAGTTATCTTCTGAATCTTTCTTCACTGCAATGTGATTGACACAGACAGGCACTGATCTTTCTCTCAAGTGTGAAGATATATAGATTAATCAGTAGTTGAAAGCAATGTGTTCTGATCAGTTACAGTTAATACACACTTCATATTAATATTGATCAGCAACTTCTTCAGAAGTGATTTCAGAAACTCAGAAGCCTGTTCAAACAGTGAAAACTCTTGCTTGTATATAGACATTTGAATCTATTCAGTTCATGACATCTGCATCATTGTTGTTCTTCAGTGCAGGTGTATAAGTGACTGAGATGTAATGTCTTCTATCACTGTTCTGTATACTCTTGAGCTTGATAAGATAATCATTCAATGTCTGAAGCTGTGTGCAGAAGCCTTTATAAGTCTAGTCTTTATCTACACTTACAAGAGCCTGTAAGAGTTTGAAAGTCAATGTCTTCTTGAGCATGCTAATCTTCATGCAATTCTCTCAAGATTGATCACCTGCTTCTAGAATCTTGGTGTTGAAATCAGAGATGAATGTTGTAAGAGAAGTGTTTCTCTGTCAAGCACTCTGTAATCAATCTAACACTTTCTGTTACATGATCATGTCTCAGAATAGAACATCAAGATATCTTATAATATTATCAGGTATTTGCAATGCTGATTCACATGCTTTTATTCATGAATGAAACTTCTATTTCACATGATCTTTCAATTGTTCATTGATATATTAATCTTGATTGATTAATGAACTGATGAAATCTTCATCTATACTTAGTTTCACAAGCATTTCCATCCTTCATGATGAGTAGAGAGTGAGATTGAAAGTATTGAAATATATAAGAGTATCTAAGTATTCTTTCAGTGCTTTTGTATTCAGTTCTGTAGATGTTGAAATTGTGTGAGTTAATTGTTGAATCTCTTCATATTGAAGTTGTTAAGTTGCATACATATCAGCTATTTATTATTATTGTAATTTCAACATTGCTCAGAGCCACTGTGACATCATATCTATACTCATGTTCAAGGATTTCATATTATCATTGAACATGATTATATTGATTGTCAGATGTATGATATCTGTGAAATCTGAAGAAGTGTAATTATATTCTCATATGTCTGAGTGTCAGAACTCTCAGATCTTTTACTGACATTCTCTTGTAAAATCTTACTCTCTTCATAAGATCTTGTTGTAAGGTCAGAGTGACTGATGAGCAAGCTTCTATCTAAGAACTATCTGAGAACTCAGTGTCTGCTTAACTGTGTTTCTCTTTTTTACATATCATTACATGTTCAGATATCTCTCAGTGAGTAATTATTTCTAATGAGAAGATGATATGTGAATAATCATTTTCTAATAAGAAGACAATGAATGTTTTTATAGTGTAAGAGGCCTACACTGAATAGATCAGTATTATATTGATAGGTCTTATTTAACAAAGATAAAAATGTTAGAGAAGAAAAGAAAGAGAAAGTGTGAGAATCAGTGATCAAGATGGATATTTATACATGTATGTGATGGCATACGCGGTGGAGCTTCGGGGCGGAAGAATATACACGCGTTTGTAGCGGCTGAGGATCGGCAATTGAGAATGGCTGAGAATCGGAGTGTATGTGTTTGAGAATGAAGTGATTGGAATCTGTGAAGTGTAATGAAATAGTCTATATGATTGATCGGGCGCAGCCCGCCGCATATAAGTAATTACAGAACTTATAAAGATAATTCTTTACAGTCTGAATTATCTATTCTGATATATTATTGATCTCAGAGTGATAGACAGTTAACAAATAGTATATAATCTTAAGAACTTGACAGATTCTTGTTCAGACAGTGCTTATGAATTGACAGCTCTGATCTGATACTATAGATCTTGATAATTTATATATCTAATAGAACAGACTTCTTAGAAAAGCTTCAGTAACTTATTCAGTATTCATCTTATTACAAGATTTAAATAATATATTCTTACTTAATTAATTCATGATAATCAGAATGTTTCTATAATTCTTACTCTTAGAGAGATTAATAATGAAGTTAATTATCACATCTCATCAGATACTGTCAGAAATATTAAGTGATTTCAGCAGATCTTTTCTACAGTTCTTTCATAAGATGATAGAGAATCAATGATTACAGTTTTGAATGAAACATCTGATACTGTTTAATATCTCAGATCAGTAGAACTCTTAAAAGACTATTTAATACAGTTATTCATAACCTGATTAACCAGTTATATGAGAGTCATGCATCTCTTATATTATTCAGATGTGTAAGAGTTCAGAGAGAGAGACTCAGTGTTATTTATAAAATCATAGAGTGATATTATTATTGATTGAATATTCTGAGATATCAGTTTCTATATATAGTTCTGAGACAAATCAGAGTGCTTCTTATTATACTGTTTTGATAAGTATTTAAAGAAGTTCATTAGTTTGAGTTACTGTATGTCATAGTTCATCTACTATAGATTTAAGAGAAGTTGAGATATTAGTAGCAGTTGAAATTGAAGAAGCATGTATAGTGTCATAAGCTGTTTCATCTTGATTAACTAGTATCTTCAGATTCAAGAGTCATTGCTCTTGATTCATTCAGCAAGTATCTATTATATCAGCTGATATATCTTGCTCTCATTATGAGAGAGCATCTATCATTGAGTTCTGTCTGTCAGAATGATAGTGTATTGTAAAATGAAAGCAGCTTAAGAACTCAGATCATTACATCTATTATTCAGTGAGTTTATAAGTAGTTATAAAGTGCTTGAGATTCTTATAATCTGTGATTATCTCAAATTTGAAGATGCTTCAGAGTTTAGAGTCTCATTCTTTTAGACAGTATATAATTATAAGAAGTTTCTTATTATAGATCTGATAGTTGCATTTGATGAGACTCAGTTTCTTAGATATAAAGATGTCAGGTCACGTCATCTGGCTTACTAATCCTTTCATCATATAACTTTCCACAAGCTAGCAACCTTTCAATGACACAAGCTTTACACCTTTCACAGGTTATGAGACCTGTTTTGCATAAAATCACTGTCAATTCGGGATTCCTTGTTAATATAATTATTATTTAACTACTGCTTCATTTGATACACTTATTAGAAGTTAAAATGATCTTATTCTATCAGTATTGAGATCTTGTTGATCAATAATACTACTGCTCACTTAAAAAAGAGGCTTGTAGAAAATGCACCACATTGCAAAAAAGCAAGAAAAAGAGAATGATATTAACAAGAATTCAACAAATGAATATCAAGATGACAGATTCATCACAATCTCACTCACATACACATTCACAATCTCATGTTCTTCTCACTGAATTAGTTGCAGTTGATAATGATAATTCTTCACACTTATACTCTGTCAGTGAACATTCTTCTGAAGTCTTTGAAAGCTTTATTGATGAATGCTCTGAAACACTCTCTCAATTTGAAGCTGGTTTGAATACAGCTTCTGACACAGTCAGGCCGGCCCCCCGATCTACTCAACAGCTTGATACTGATTCTCATGAAGTTAACTGTTCAGGCGAGGCAATATGAGACCAACAGATGAAACATCTCAAGATGACATTTAAGATGAAGAAGAAGAGACATAGAGTTTTAGAACTTGAACTATAACTGAAAAAACTTCATCAAAAGAGATTCTCAATCTTCACAGATTGATTACAGAATGTCAATAATCATTCTGTTATCATCTCAACAGTCTGTACAGTCACATGAAATTCTAATCTTGATAAAAGATTGGAATTCAACCTTTATAAATCAGATAGCTGTGTTGACAAGGCAATCTCTCAATTCAAGAAAGATGTCAAGAATACTGTGAGATTAAACAGTCTAACTGATACATTTAATTACATCATATGAAGCATCTTTATGAAAGTGAAACTAGTTGATACACAGTGTTGATATATGATAGAGAAATGACAGACTTGAAATCCTCTATAAAGAGATAAGAAATGAGCATCATTCTGAGACATCAGAAATCAGTGACTCTACACATTCATCTCAAACTTCTTAAGTGCAGGTGTCAGATCACATTTCTCTAAATATGATGAAAATCAGATCACTTATACTCTATGAAATGCAATTGAACAGGAATACTCTGTCTCAAAAACACAGTTATACTATGAGACAGTTCTGAAATTTATGTTACTTGATGATACACAGATCATCAATCTACACACATTCTTTGATAAGTTCTGATTCATCATTATAAAATTGAAGATGATGAATGCTTCTCTCTCAGATGCATGAATATTTGATGTCTTCTACTCAGTTCTACTGAACAATTGAAGGAATTATGTTCAGAAGAAGATAGAGAAGATACAGAATTTCAAATCCACAGCTGTGATATTGAATGTTGATCTTCTCATGAAGAAAATTCACTCACAGCTTGATTCTTCAAAAGATAAAAAGAATCTGCAGAATACAGATTCTGTAGTCAACTCAGCTATAACAGCTACAACAGCTACAAGAGCTACAACAGCCACAACAACTATTAATAATAATACATTGAATTCAGCCTGTGGAGGCTGTAATGAACATGGTTGTGATAGTTCACAAGAGGGCTTCTGAAATCATCAGAGATCAGGAAATTTATCTACATGTTCTGAATGTAAGAGATCTCACTTTGGCATCTGTTGATTGATCAATTCAGACAGTACTTCAGATAATTGAAGAATCTACAACACTGCAAGAATAAAGAAATTCAAAGAAAAGAAGGAAAAGAATAGTGAGAATAGAACTCAACTATTTATTACAGATGAATCAGAGACCTATCAGATGACAAACCTTGCAGAGGTTATCAATGTGCCAGCCTGTTTCATGAAACCTCACAAGAATCCCTTCAACCGGCGTTTATACATATCAAAGAATGTTATCTTCCAGGAGGACCTTCATCTTGTCAATTTATCAATACTGACAATGAACAACCTGAAGGTTCTACTCAATGCGGCCTGTAAAGCGGCTGCGGCGATTCCTTCGGCGACACCAGGCCTACCCACTGCGGCCTGTCAAGAGACTGCAGTGATTCCTGATTCATCAATTGATAATCTGTTCATTGATGAGGAAATTCAACCTGAGTGTCCATTATTTCTTGTACTCACTAATAATTGATGGATTGACTATGATATCTCTGCGAGAATATCTACTCTTTTAGTACAGAATACACTGAACTTCTCAGAATCCACAGTTGAATCTGATGACTCTTCAACATCTACAAGGAATATCACTACAGTGAGAGAAGCTTCAGTGAGAAACAGTCTTGAAGACCTACTCATCGATTCTGAGATCACTGCACTTCTGATCCTGAAAACCTCACACACACCAAAGCTTTCATAGAATGGAAGTATTATTACAAGGCCTGTGTTAAAGAGGTCAATCATTTAAAATATACATGTTGAAAAGAGAATATAAAGAAGATAGGGAGATAGAGGGATAAAAAAATGATGTATATTATGACTGGTTTTTCATTACTATACATTGTCCAGTTATTTTTTATACCTGTACTTGATTTAAAGGTGAATTTTATATATAGCATCATGTATAGTTATTCTGATGAGTGAGGATGTCATGTCACATGATCTGGCTTACTAATTCTTTCATCATATAACTTTTCATAAGCTAGTAATCTTTCAATCACACAAGCTTTACATCTTTCACAAAAGAAGCATAATTGTAAGATATCTTTATTATCATATTGTAATATAGCTTCTTCTATAATATAGTCAGAGAAATCAGCTTTAACAACTATCTTATAATCAGAATTGAATATTATCAGTAGAGAGATATTAATGAATATCTTCTTTATCTGTATCAATACAGCTTCAGTGTTCACTGATCATTGAAATACTGAGTCTTTCTTAGTGAGTTCTGTAAGTGATCTCATAATATCTGAGAAGTTTTATATAAATTACTGATAGAAGTTTGTGAATTCAATGAAGCTTTATACATCTTTCACAGTATATAAAGTCTCTCACTTGAGAATAGTAGAGACTTTCTCAGAATTCAATTGAATTCTCTTATCAGCTTCTATGATAAAGCCTAGATATTTTATACTCTTGACTTTGAAATCATACTTATTAATATCTATTGATAGTTCTGTCTCTTATAATCATTGTAATATCTTTCACATGTGTTCTTGAGATTCTTTTCTGAATTTGTCAGTGAAGATGAGAATGTTATCTAGATATATAGATATAAACTCATTAAGAAAATCTCAGAGTGCTTAGTTAATATACTTCTGAAATGTACTGAGAGTATTAGTCAGTTTAAACAATGTGACTACTTATTCAAATAGATTATAATGGGTTCAGAATGCTATAAGTTATTCATCTTCTTCAGTGATATAAATCTTATGAAATGCAGTGATAATATCTAGCTTTGTAAACTAATAAGCTTATCTGATATATGCTAGAGTTTCATTGATAAGAGATAAGAGATAATAATCTTTCTTTGTTAGTCTATTCAGATCTCAATAGTTCACACAGAATCAGAGTTCTTCATCTGACTTCTTTATAAAGAGAATAGAAGCTGCAGTGAAAGAGTTACTAATATATATAAATCTCTTATTCAACAGATTATTGAGTGTCTTCTGAAGAAGAAGAAGTTCATCTTGAGATATATTATAAAGAGAGTCTCACAGTGACTCAGAGTTCTTATTATTCTTCTTTTTTAACTTGATACTGTGATTCACTTCTGAGTCTTGTAAAGAAGATATATTTATAATATTATCTTATCAGAAGACATCTAGATATTTATGATATTATTGACAGAGTTTTGTGTGAGAATCTGTTATTATAGTATAAGATAACTTTTCTAGAGCTTTTTTAGTATCAGTCAGACTGATGAAATAAATTGATATATAATTCTTCTATCAGTGATTTTATAAGTGACTCTGTCAGTAACTTTGATGATAACTTCTTTTTCAGAGTATTTTTTAAGCATTGACAGAGATCTGTGTAAAATTCATAGTCTTGTGAATATCATCTTTGTGAATTCTATCATTATTCAAGAATATTAAGCCTCTGTTTTAAGTATTCAATAATATATCTTGTTCAGATAGTCAGACAAGTTCTAGTATAAGATTATAGTCAAAATTATCAACTTTGTATGTATGAATATCTTCATATTAATGTTCTTTAACATCTATGTTTAGTTTCATCATGTAATGAGTATGAATATCTTTTAAATCATCAAATTCTGTGAGGAGTTGAGATCTTGATAAGAGAATATACTGAAGATTATAATATCTTATGATTGAAGATTTAATCATTGTATAATGACATAGACTGCTGTCTATCATGACTTTTATATTATACATATTATCTATCACAGTAGATACAAGAATTATGTTCATTGTTATTTTCTCTTTAAATTATTATCATTCAATCTCTTCAAGCTTCTGCTTATGAATTTGAACAGAAGTTAATCTTTTCTCTGTTTCATTGAGACATTCTTATAGTTATCTTATAAATCCTTCTCTAATATAACATGGTTGATGTGAACAGATGCTGATTCATTCTTTAAGCAAGAAGATATGTAGGCTGATCAACAGTTGAAAGTAATATACTCTGATTAATTACAGTTAATACACACTTCTTATTGATATTGATTAATGACTTCTTCAGAAGTGATCTCAGAGACTCAGAAGCCTGTTCAGATAATGAAGACTCTTGCTTATATATAGATATTCAAGTTTACTCAGTTCATAGCATCTGCATCATTGTTATTATTTCTCAGTGCAGATGTATGAGTAGCTGAGTTATTTCTTAACACAGATATGTGAGTGTAATATCTTCTATCACTGTTCTGTATACTCTTGAGCTTGATAAGACAGTCATTCAGTATCTGAAGCTGTGTGCAGAAGTCTTCATAAGTCAGGTCTTTATTTATGCTTATAAGAGTCTGTAAGAGTTTGAAAGTTAGTATCTTCTTGAGTATACTAATCTTCATTTAATTCTCTCAAGATTGATCACCTGCTTCTAAGATCTTGATATCAATGTTAGGAATAAATATTGTAAGAGAAGTGTTTCTCTGTCAGATACTCTATAATCAATCTAATACTTTTTGTTGCATGACAGTGTCTCAGAACAGAATATCAAGATATTTGATAATATTATCAGATATTTACAATGCTGGTTCACATGCTTTCATTCATGAATGAAACTTTTATTTCATGTGATTCTTCAATTATTCATTGATATATCAATCTTGATTGATTAGTGAACTTATGATATCTTCATCTATACTAAGTTTCATGAGTATTTTCATTCTTCATGATGAGTAGAGAGTGAGATTGAAAGTATTGAAATGTGTGAAAGCATCTAAGTATTCTTTCAGTGCTTTTATATTCAATTCTGTAAATATTGAAATTGTATGAGTTTCATATTAAATTAATTGTTGAATTTTCTCATATTGAAGTTGTTGAGTTGTATGTATATCAGCTATCTATTACTGTTGTAATTTCAATATTACTCAGAGTCACTGTGATATTATGTCTATACTCACATTTGAGAGTTCTCTCATATTATTGTTAGACATGATTATATTGATTATTAAATATATGATATCTGTGAAATCAGAAGAAGTGTAATTATATAAATATCTTATATATCTGTGATGTTATAACTCTCAGATCTTTCACTGACATTCTCTTTATAAGATCTTACTCTCTTCATAAGATCTTGTTATAGAATCAGAGTGACTGATAAGTAAGCTTCTATCTGAGAATATAGTATCTATTTAACTGTTTAACTGTTTCTCTATTTCTTATGTATTATTATGTATTCAGATATCTTGATGAGTAATTGTTTTTAATAAGAAGATAATGAATGTTTTTCAAGTATAACAGGTCTATACTGAATAGATCAACATAATATTTATAGGTCTTATATAACAAAGTGAAAAATATTAGAGAAGAAAAGAAAGAGAAAGTGTGAGAATCAGTGATTGAAGTGAATATTTACACACATATGCAGTGACATACACAGAGGAACTTCAGAGTGAAAGTCTAGAGGTTTTCATACACAGTGAAGCTTCAGAGTGGAAGAATAGAAATTTCATAGATTTTCAGCTGAGAATCAGCGACCGAGAATCAGAGCAGTAGAAATCTGTGAAGTGTAATGAAATAGTCTATATAATTGATCGGGCGCAGCCCGTCACAATAGAAAAGAATAGAAAGGAAAAAGTAAAGTAAAGAGAGACTATAATAAAACAAATTATTAAAAGATAGTATATAGCTGTTTTAACAGACTATATCTGATCAATTTCCTTCTCTTCATATTCAAATATTTCTGAATTTAGTCATTTTCTTGTAGCTGCTTGAGTTTCTAATAGAAAGTCTATTAAGTATTTAATTCCTGTCTCAGTTGAGAATAAGAATCTCATATTTAATTGATTTAAATTATACTTCTCTTTCAATCTGACTCTCAGATTATTGTATAATACACAGTGTATTATAATATACTCAGGATTCTTATTTACATTGCAGAATAAGTATTCTATTGAATCAAATCTATCATCAAATATTTGTATATAAGATTTGAAATAGCTATATTCTAGTTTCAGCTGTATTATAGATGAGAATATTGTCTTTTTATATTTAATTAAACAAGATTTTCACTTGAGTTTTATTTCAAATCTTGAATAATATATACTCTTCTTTTATTTCTGTTAACTTTTATTTCACTTATCTAAATAATATTCTTTTATCTTTCTCTTTATAAAAGACTAGAACATAATTTTTTGAAAAGATCTGCTCAATTCTGAATTCTTTCTTACAGCTGAATCAGTTAATTCATTATCATGAATATTCATATAAACAGAAACTTAGTGTAGATAAATTATCATCTTTAATATTCTTCTCTTTTGAATTTTCAAAACAGAGTTTAAAATCAGTTCAAGATTTATTTAATTATTATAAATCTGACTATTTCTAAGTCTTTTTAAAGCAGCTTGATTATCATTGAATATTCATATCTCTTTCAAACTATTTTCTCTTTTATAAGATTTTATTTCAATAAGTTTGAAAGCTTTCACTATTATAAATAGTTCAGTATCAAAGACTTCAGATTCACAGTCTAAATTTCAGAAATCTGAGATAAAATTGATATTATCTTCAGTATAAGTAATATTTGTATCTAATCTATTCAAATTCTCATTTTTTAAATTATCTGAATAAATCAGAATAGAGTCTTCTATATTAATTATAGAAATCTTCAAATGCTGTTCATATTTTTTCTCTTTAAATAGTTCACTTATTTATAAGTCTATAAGAGATTCAAGCTTTTCTCTTCAGAGAGATATCTTCTCATGATCAACTTGTTCAATATTTAAAGAAGATAATTGATTTTTAATCAGTGAGTATAGTCTGTTATAGTTGAGAAGATATTTTCTTTGAAGAATTATTTTCATTTCAATCAAGAAATCTATTTCAATCTAGTTCATTTTCAGAGTTAATCAATGAAAATGAAGAAGAGACTCTTTCTCTGATTATATGATTTAAGCTCATCTTTATAACTCTCAGACCATACTTTATACAGACCTTTTTAAATCTAATAACAGAAGAAGGAATTGAAGCTTCAATTTTCATTACTTTAATAGAAGATGATTTGAATACTCTCAGAATTCTTCTCAAAGCTCTGTTTTGCAGACTTTGAATGAGTTCAGTGAAATTTCCTTGATTATTCCATTAAACTTGAACTTCATAATCAGCTACTGAGGTAATACAGGCTATATATAACTGTCTCATAGCCTGAAGTAAATGTGTACTGATGCAGAGATTGTATTGATATATCTATCACTCTATTTATCAAACTTAAATTCAATTGAAGAGTTCTTTGCTAAGCTAAAAGCCTTTATTAAATGAAACTAGTGTTTCTATAAGAATGACCCGGGTCAAGGCTCTGATGCATTTATTGAATAATGTCTTGATATAGTGAGCGCAAGAGAACGAAGTGAAAAAGGCCATTTCCAGCATGTAGGTTTGAAGGTTGAAAAGATATAACTAGAGTTACTAAATTGTATCATGTTTATTACTATTACTATATTAATCTATGTAGATAATTAACTTTTTCAAAATGAACTGAAGGTGTTAAAACATGAACTGATATAGTCATTTTACACTTGACCATGCTGCAAATTGACTGTGGTCATTATTTACCTATTTCAGGCCTTCAGATAAGAAACAGGGCTCTTGTAACAATTAGAGCAAGAAGCACAGCCAGCCTTTCATTTCAAGCTTTGAAGAGGTATAAGCCAAGCAAAAACAAACCAGATTTATTTAGCTAATCTCATGTAGATTTTGATATTTAATATCATATCTTTAGGAATATCCAGACTAAACGGCATCAAGACACCCTTATGTTCCTTCACCACCAAACCATAGTAAATCACTGCCGGGCTGCCATTCAAAGACGGTCGCGCATTCATTGACCGTTGACGGCGAAGTGTTGCCATTAATCAAGGGAAAATCGTGGCTCTGAAGACTCAGGTTGATGTCCTTCAGTGTTTTGTTGTTGTTTGTGTCGGTCGAGAAATTGCTGGATTTTAACTGGTGTTGTTCCGTATTGTTCCCGGATAAGATTGATCGAAGCTTGCTGGATCTGAGAGGGCAATCTTCGTTGCAATTCTGTCAAGACATCAATAGTGAAAGTCTGACAGTTGTCGAGAAGGATATTGTAATCGAAACTCTCAAAGCATGCTCTCGCCGCATCCTCAACTTCCCCGCGTGTTGCACGTGAGCCTACAAGAGGCACAACACTCTTTGCAGAGCTGCGCGAGAGTTGGAACTGGTTGATAAGTAGCTCAGCCTCACCTCCGCCAGACTTCGCGTCATTGCCTTCTATCCCGATGTGCACAAGGGTTCCGGTAGGGTCAGCCGTTCTGTTGGGAATAAATAGCGCCCAATGCGCTATATCTCCGATGCTGAATGCAACAAGATGAAGGGTTTGCGGAGCATATTCAAGGGTTTGAGATGATGCTGAAAGTATTGAGGACATACTGAAGTTTTTGCGGCATAATCACATTATCCTAGTTGGGAAGGCAGGGTTGAGAAGAGGGGTATTTAAGTATCCAGTCAGGCAATATTTCATTGCGGCCTGAAGTTTAGCATAATGCACATGAGTTTCAATATCCTCGCTTGTATATCACACTCTGAACTTCTAGTCGCTCTGGAATGCAAGGAGTCAAGGCTTCCATCAGTAAGGGTTTCCACCACTCTTCTCCTCCATAATCATACAAACATGCGGCAAGTGCGTACTCGACATACTCCGGATAAAATCCGCTACGCTCCCAGTCCACAATACCTGTTATCTTCCCTTCCTTAACAAGTATATTCCGTGGAAAGAGGTCTCCGTGTGTGAGCACAAACTTTGACTGACTATTCCTCCGTAATTCAGCGAGTTTCCTCCTCCACTTGCTTTTTTCAGACGGGTTCTTTATACGGGAAAGACACCATTGATCGAAATCGGCCTCTGAGTTGAATGGCCCCATGAGCTTTCTCTCGATGCCTTCGTATGGGTTGTAGGTGGGTTGGCGATTGACACGTCCAATATACGGCTGGGTGCATGACCTGAAAAGTTTTAAATGGTCTGCAAGCTGTTCTGTGATCGACATGCGTTGTTGTTCATCCAATGTCGGCCAGACCTCGTCAAGTGGATTGCCTGGCACAAAGTCGGCAATCATGGCGATCCGATGGCTGTCGAGTTGGCGGCATTCCCAGACGGCAGGAGCCAAGAGGTTCTGAGAGTGCGCGTAGGCCATCATGTCCGCCTCTGATTCCCAGAAAAAGCCCACGGTTTTGAATTTAATGGCGACAGGGTGTCCATCTCGGATGTTGTGGCTCTTGATAACGAGGTTGCCGAAATAGTCGTATATTGTTTCCCCGTCGAAGGAACCGTCATAGCGGCGTTCAGAATGGCCTGTTCTAGACTCGCTATTATTCTGCTGTCTAAACTTATTCACAAGAAAAGCGAGCATTGATGCAAGTAAGTGTCACTATTTGCTAGAACAGAAAAGAAGAATGAAAGCTGAGTGAAGAGTTGGCTCTGCTGCTCTCCTGTTTTCTTCAGAGTGTATCTTTTTCTAATACAATTATATCATGTGACTAACCCGTGGAAACTGTAGGCTACTGGGGCAAAAGAGCTCAGTCACCACCAGCGCACTGCTGGTAGAAGGGCCGATCAACCCCCGGGACCCCCAACACCCCCCCTCGGACCAGCTACCACAGAGTACAGTACTCCTCTCAGTGGCTCCTCTCAGTGGCTCCTCTTAGTGGCTCCTCTCAGCAGTCTTTCTTTTTTTGAACTCACTTCTAGAGCTCATTCTTTCAAGGGCTCACTTCTAGAGCACACTTCTAGAATGTCTCTTGACACTGTTAAATGTCCAGGGTATTTATTTTGAGGTTTATATTCTTAAGTTCATCCTGGGATTGAACCCATGCATGTTGATCACAGTGGAGCTCATACTAAACAGTCTCATAACCTGTAGACTACTGGGGCAAAAGAGCTCAGTCACCACCAGCGCACTGCTGGTAGAAGAGCCGATCAACCCCCGGGACTCTCAACAGAAACATTCATTGTTGATGATTACTGTAGCGGCCGCCTCAGTGGCGTTGTCATAGCGATCGCTCCGCCTACACGTGATCTCATATGTAATATAAATATAGGTAGCTCTTCTC